AGTCGGGGAGTCGGGGATTCGGAGAGACGGCCAAACGGGGAATCGGGGAGTCGGTGAGTCGGCCAGTCGGGGAGTCGGGGAGTCGGGGAGTCAGGGAGTCGGGGAGTCGGGAAGTTGGGCAGTCGGGGAATCGGCCAATCGGAGAATCGGGGAGTCGGGGAATCGGGCATCGGGGGGTCGGCGAGTCGGGGAGTCGGTCTGTCGGGGAGTCGGGGAGTCGGCCAGTCGGGGAGTGGGCAAGCCGGCCAGTCGTGGAGGCCAATCGGCCAGTCGGGCAGTCGGGGAGTCGGGGGGTCGCGGAGTCGGGGAGTCGGCCAATCGGGGAGTCGGGAGTAGGGGAGTCGGCGAGTCAGGGAGGTCGGGGAAGTCGGCGAGTCGGCGAATCGGGGAGTCGGCCAGTCGAGGGAGTCGGGAGTCGGGGAGTCGGGGGATCGGCCAATCGGGGAGTCGGGGAGTCGGCCAGTCGGGGAGTCGGGGAGTCGGCCAATCGGGGAGTCGGCCAGTCGGGGAGTCGGGGAGTCGAGATATCAGAGGGTCCGGAAGTCAGGGAGTCAGAGAGTCGGGGGATCGGAGGTCGGGGAGTCGGGGAGTCGGAGAGTCGGCCAGTCGGGGAGTCGGGGAGTCGGCCAGTCGGGGAGTCGGGGAATCGTCCAGTCGGGAAATCGGGGAGCCGGCCATACCGGACATCGGCGGGTCAGGGAGCCGGGGAGTCGGCCAGTCGGGGAGTCGGCCAATCGGGGAGTCCGGGAGTCGGGCAGTCGGCCAGTCGCGAGTCGGGGAGTCGGCGAATCGGGAAGTCGGGGAAACAGCCAATCGGGGAGTCGGGGAGTCGGGGAGTCGGCTAGTCGGGGAGTCCGGGAGTCGGCCAGTCGGGGAGTCGGGGAGTCGGCCAGTCGAAGAGTCGGCCAGTCGAGGAGTCGGGGAGTTGGCCAGTCGGGGAGTCGGCCAGTCGGGGAGTCGGCCAGTCGGGGAGTCAGGGAGTCGGCCAGTCGGGGAGTCGGCCAGTCGGGGAATCGGAGAAGGGCCCGAGGGGATGTCGGGATTCGCGGGAGTCGGCCAGTCGGAGAGTCGGAGAGTCGGGGAGTCGGGCAGTCGGGATTTCTGGGAGTCGGCCAGTCGGGGAGTCGGCCAGTCGGAGAGTCGGGGAGTCGGGGAGTCGGGGTGTCGGGGAGTCGGCCAGTCGAGGAGTCGGGGAGTCGGGGGAGTGAGGAGGTTGGGGAGTCGGGGAGTCGGGGGGCGGGGACGGGGAGTCGGAATTCGGGAAGTCGGGGATTCAGTCGGGGAGTGGGCCAACCGGGGAGTCCGGGGAGGAGGCTTCGGCAATCGGGAGTCGGCCAGTCGGAGAGTCGGTCAAGGCGGAGGAGTCGGGGCATCGGGCCGTCAGGAATCGGCATCGAAAAGCGGCAGCGGGGGAATATTCGGGAAGTCGGCCAGTAGTCGGGGAGTCGGCCAGTCGGGGAGTCGGGGAGTCGGGGAATCGGGAAGTCGGCCAGTCGGGGAGTTGGGGTGTCGGCCAGTCGGGAAGTTGGGGAGTGGGGGGATCGGGAAGTCGGGGAGTCGGCCAGTCGGCCAGTCGGGGAACCGGACAGTCGGGAAGTCGGCCAGTCGGGGAGTCGAGGAGTCGGGAAGTCGCCCGGTCGGGAGTCGGCCAATCGGGGAGTCGGGCAATCGGTGAGTCGGCCAGTCGGGGAGTCGGGGATTCGGGAAGTTGGGGGGTCGGCAAGTCGGGAAGTCGGCCAGTCGGGGGGTCGGGGAGTCGGCCAATCGGGGAGTCGGCCAGTCGGTGAGTAGGCCTTTGGGGAGTCGGGGACTCGGCCAGTCGGGAAGTCGAAGAGTCAGGGAGTCGGGGAGTCGGCCAATCGGGAAGTCGGCAAGTCGGGGAGTCGGGGAGTCGGCCAGTCACAGAGTCGGGGAGTCGGTCAGTCGGGGAGTCGGGGGGTCGGGGAGTCAGGGAGTCGGAGAGTCAGGGGAGTCGGAGAGTCAGGAGAAAGGGAGTAGGGGAGTCAGGGAGTCGGGGGTCAAGAGTGGAACGGGGAGTCCGGGGGGGTGGGGAATCGGAGAGTCGGAGAGTCGGGGAGTCGGGGAGTCGGGGAGTCGGGGAGTCGGGGGGTCGGCGAGTTGGGGAGTCGGGGAGTCGGGCAGTCGTCGGGGATTTGTCGGGGAGTCGTCGGGAAGTCGTCGGCCAGTCGGGGAGTCGGGGAGTCGGAGAACGGGAAGGCGGGGAATCGGGGAGTCGGGGGAGTCGGGGGGTCGGGGAATCGGGGAACTGGGGAGTCAGGGAGTCAGGAGTCGGGAGGTCGCGGGAGTAGCGGGTCAGGGAGCCTGGGAGTCGGGGAGGAGACAGGGACTCGGCCAGTCGGAGGGAGAATGGGAAGCTCGGGGAGGCGGCACTCGGGAAGTGGGGAGGCGGGGAGTAGGGGAGTCGCCAGTCGGGGAATCGGGGAGTCGGGGAGTCGGGAGTCGGGAGTCGGGGAGGGGGGTCGGAGATTCGGGGAAGCGAGAAATCGGAGAGTCGGGGAGTTCGGGGAGTTCGGGGAGTGGGGAGTCGGCCAGTCGGGAGTCGGGAGTCGGCCAGTCGGAGTCGGGAGTCGGGAGTCCGGGGAGTCGGCCAGTCGGGGAGTCGAGGAGTCGAGGAGTCGGGGAGTCGGGGAGTCGGGGGGTCGGGGGGTCGGGGAGTCGGGGAATCGGGGAACTGGCCAGTCGGGGATTCGGGGAGTCGGGGAGTCGGCCTTTCGGGGAGTCGGGGCGTCGGGGAGTCGGCCGGTCGGGGAGTCGGGGAGGCAGAGAATCGGGGAGTCCGGGAGTCGGGGCGTCAGCCAGTCGGGGAGTCGGGGCGGGGAGTCCGGGAATCGGGAATCGGGGATTCGGCAGTCGGCGAATCGCGGAGTCGGGGAGACCGGGAGTCGGCCAGTCGGGGAGTCGGGGAGTCCGGGAGTCGGGGAGTCGGGGAGTCGGGGAATCGGGGAGTCGGGGAGACGGAGAGTTCATTCCGGCACCGTAGAAATCCCACCAGCCCTCTGGGCGTCGGTGGTTTAGAAAGTTTCATCTTCCACCCCTCCTTCTTCCCCTTCGGGGAGGGGTGTATCATTTTTCCCTATTAATAAACACCCCCTCCCCCTGGCGACTGGGGGCCAACCCAGGTCCATGACGACCCCCCCACAATCCCTTGTAAAAAACCATGCAAAACACACTGTTGCTCCAAATTCAGAACATGCGCAGCCAACCCGATGCGCCACCCCCCCCCGCCACCATTCCTGTCAAAAAAACAATACAGAATACACTTGGCGGAGGCGGCGGCGGCGGCGGCGGCTGCGGCGGCGGCTGCGGCGGCGGCGGCGGCGGCGGCTGCGGCGGCGGCGGGGGCGGCGGCGGCGGCGGGTTCCGGTGGCGGCGGTGGCGGCGGCGGCGGGGCTGGTTTAGCGGCAGCGGCTGCGGCGGCGGCGGCGGCGCGGCGGCAGCGCGGCGGCGGCGGCGGCGGGGACGGCGGCGGCGGAGGCGGCGGTGGCGGCGGCGGATTGGCCCCCAATAGCAACCCATCCAAAGACGACTGCTGAATATGCTGAGGCTCGGGCCAGACTCGGGTGCTACGTATGTGTTGGGAGGGCCGGTGGGAATGAGCGAGACGGCTTGCGGGCGGGGGGGGGTCTTGATCACTGTTCCCTATTAATAAACACCCCCTCCCCCAGGCGACTGGGGGCCCACCAAGGTCCATGCCAACACCCCCCCCACACAATCCCTTGTAAAAAAACAATGCAAAACACACTCTGCTTCCAAATTCGGAACATGCGCAGCCAACCCGATGCGCCCCCGCCACACATCCCTGTCAAAAACAATACAGAGACTTGGCGGAGCGGCGGCGGCTGCGGCGGCGGCCTGCGCGGCGCGGCGGCGGCGGCGGCGGCGGCTGCGGCGGCTGCGGCGGCTGCGGCGGCGGGGGCGGCGGCGGCGGCGGCAGCGGCGGCGGCGGCCGCCTCCCCTGAACCTGGAGGGGGGGCCACGAGGTGTTCGGGCGTCCAAAACGGCCTCGGCGAGGAAGCCACCATCATTGATGTTACTTCAGTTTTGGCCCCATTTTTGCCTCTTGGGGGGACCCTAATTTAACACCCCCCCTCCTGTGATCGATCTCACCCAAGATGGCCCACAGATGGCCCCCAAGGCCCCCAAGGGTGCCCCAAGAGGGCCCCAAGAGGTGGCCAGGAAGCTCCAAGAGGCCCCCAGGATGCCCCCAACCAAGATACATCCAAGAGGACCCAAGAGGCCCCGCTGAGGCACCCAAGACGCTCCAAGAGGCCTCGGCGACAATGCCCAAATCGTAGATTTTACAAAGGTTTTGGCCACATGTTGGCCTCCTGGTGGGGCACTGCTTCAGATGACTCCAAGAGCGCCTGGGAGAGCCAAAGATGATCTCCAAGATGGCTCCAGATATCCCAAGATGCCTCAAGATGGCGCCCACGATGCTCCAAGAGGCCCCAAGACCGCTCCAAGACGGCTCCAAGTGGCCAAAGAGCTCCCCCAGGAGGTCCCGAAGAGGCGTCCAGGAGGCCCCAGGAGGCCCCAACAGGCGCCCAAGAGGCCTCCAAGAGGCTCCCAAGAGACCCCCAAGAGGCCCCAAGAAGCTCTCCGAGGCACTCAAGACGCTCTAAGAGGCGTCCGGGACCGCCAGGAGGCCCCCAAGACGCTCCAAGAAGCCTCAACTGGGGGACCCTTCCTCTGTGTGCTGCCGCTTCCCTGATCGAGGCAATTCCTCTGGGCATCGCTTCTGGATGGGCTGGTGGGCATTCGTTTTCAGTCAACGGCCGCGGGCGGAAGCGCCGTCGGCGTGTCAAGTCGAAGCGGGGCGCGCCACAGACTAATTCACAGCAAACTGGGGCACGCTACTGCCCGGGTGCGCATGCAAGAGGCCGAGGCGGATTAGGCAAGATAAACGCGGGAACAAAAAACAACAGGCTGGTGGTGATTCGCGAAGCGTCAACAATTTTCCAAATGCCCCGGCGAGGCTCCGACTTGCTGCCGGCACCGATCACGGTGTTGATGGCCGACGCCTCGGGCGCGTGCCAATGGGAGGGGGCCTGCATGGGGGGTGGAGAAAAAGGCCCTAAGGGGACCTTTGTAGGGCCCCTGTTGGAGCCACCCTGAGATCCGACGTCTCGAACAAAATTGAGACGCCGTAAGAAATCGCGCCCGGAACCCTAGACCCCATGTTTCCGAGTCATTTTTCGAGCCGGATCGATGTGTGAGAGTCCCGGGGTCCGAGAAAAAGCGAAAACGCCCCGGCTCGAAAAAATTGAGACGCCAGGATCTCAGGGCAGCTGGTGCCCAAGGGGGGCCCTGAAGGGCCCCTCGAGGGCCTTTCTCTTCACTCCCCGTGTGGGTCAACCCCCGTTACCACCCGCCCGAACGCCGTGGCGGCCACGGACTCCGGCGAGGGATCCGCAAGCGAGTCGCCGCCCGCGACCTCGACCTGGTCCAGGAGTGAGCCCATCCACGAGCTGCCCCCGCTGGCGGGCGCCACGGCCTCCAGCGACGGCGACGGCCACGACGACGGCGACCACGGCGGCGACGACGACGACGACGACCACGACGACCACGGCGGCGGCGAGGACGGCGGCGACGGCGAAGACGACGACGGCGGAGACGACGACGGCGAAGACGACGATGAAGACGACCACGTCGACAGCGACGGCGACGACGACGAAGACGACGAAGGCGACGAGGGCGACGACGGCGGCGTCGACCCAGACCCCCGACGTAATGATTTGCTCATCACGTCGACCCCCAGAGGTCCCGACCCTTTCCCCATGACCAGCGTTGCATCCTGAGTCGCTTCTCGACGCTCCCGAGGCCCGGTGAGGGGCCCTGGAGGCCGAAGATTAGGAAAATCGGCGGTGGACAACCCTGCCTTTAGTAAACCTCCCCTTAATGAAAACGGCCTGGGACCGAAACCGACGGACCTGGACCCGCAAAAACGACGGCCGCAACGCCCTCTCGCAAACCGAAAACGGCCAATTCCTTAATCGACGTGTCAGGGTAGGAGGTCTATCAAACTCCGAGAAAAACCTCCCGTCGTGATTTTTTCATTGCTCAATGGGGGTCTGGGGAGAGCCAGACGGCGGCGGGGAGCGCGGCCTCCACGGCCGCCAGCAGCGCGTAGCTGTTGCCCGTGGCCGCGATGTCGCCGACCAGTCCCAGGATGGCCTCCGGGGGGCCGAGGGGGGCAGACAGGAGGAGGAGGAGGAGGAGGAGGAGGAGGAGGAGGAGGAGGAGGG